TCCCTCTTCTTACCTCTTCTTTTATGTGGTACAGAAAAGGGATCGATACCGAATAAGGATAGGAAGGTGGTGGAAATGAGTTCAGCATTTAGTGACTGCGCTTACTTTACCCCCCAACGTTAACGAATGCAAATTCTCCTTCACTTCAGCATCTAACACGCAATTAGAAAAAGCAAAGAAGGTATTAAAAACTAAACACAGATGCGCTAGAACGCAAGCGGTCGCCACGTCGTATACGCAACCTAGCGTACCCGTCACATGCATATGTAGAATAGAAAAGCATATAGCGGATTTGATGTCTTCTCTGGAGATAAAAAGTATGTAAGAGTAAAGCAAGACTGAGAGAAAATTTGTGGTTTCGTTAAACTGAGAATTCAAATTAAAATTGAAAATCTTAAGAACAAAGCGCTAAAACAACGACTAAAAAGTAACAGTGATGACTTTTAATCACAACGCGACAAATTCCTCACATACAGTCAGTTTTACAATCAGCTCAATGTGCCACTAGTATGTAGATGAAAATATCGACAATCTGCTCGCACCTGCTGCACTTTCATCCATATTAACATACATACATATATATGTATGCGCAAGTTGGTGTCACTGCGATATATTGCTGTCTTTTAGCAGTCGCAGCAAAGCTAAAAATGAATTTTATATGTATGTATGTATGTCAGTTGGTGACTGCATTGGAAAGGGAAATATCGCTGGTACGGAAAGCTTAGTAAGCTCACAGTGTTTGCTGCTATGCATATTAATGAAAAGATCAAACACATGCCCGCCACATTTGTCAGTACTTTACCTTTTACGTATGTGCATAGTTATGCATATGCATGTATATTTAACTATAAGATGTGGTTTTTGATGACTAGAAATGAAGCCGCGAGAAAGTGCAATGCTGTAATGAACTTTCACATCGCCCATTACGCATGTGTTAGTGCGCTCGTAAAATGAAGTAACACGTTGAGGGCGTATATTTAATGTCTTCTGCATTTCTGCATTTTGCCCAAAAATGAGTGTCTGTTATTGAAATTCAACTCTGACTTAACTTAAGTGGGTTTAAAATTAAAATTTAGATAATCGGTGGCAGTTAAGTCACAGATGGGTTTAAATAACAGAAATTACTTTTTTCTAAAATTTCTGATAGAGGTTTTTGAATATAAGCCACCGAAACGTGAATACGAGGGCAGGTTGTAAATTGAATTTTTGAATATATTTTTATGCCCTTTTTGGCAAATAAGGGTTTAATTTCTCAGCATAGTCTCTTATTACCTGTATAAATTTAGTCTAGTTTCCTTTTTGATGAGCTCTTCTTTCGACCCATTGGAGCCATTTGTTCGGGTTTTAAACAGAAAATAGTTGGATTGGGGTAAATCGCAAAAACGTGCTGGCACATTTCGTAGCCGAGGCTATGGATTATGTGCGAAGTTAACTTATTTGATTTTTGTGAAAATTCCCGAGGTTGGCTGCTTCCATGGGCCAATTGTAGCCAAGTCAATATGACATAATAATTTAAAACAGTTTTCTAAAATAGTGGGAAGTACTACGCTGGGACTAATCACTTTCGCGTTATCGATTGTTAAATTCAATGATTCTCTCTTGTTTTTGATCTGATTTATATATTTGCAGGAAATTATGTTACTCATACGCCATGTATACACGCGTTTGTTCCTCATCTTAAAAGGAAAAAGATTAGATTATTGTTTTCCTCCACAAAACGATATTTCTTCCGTCTAAATAGATACCCTGAACGAAAAATTAAACCATTTGATGCGCTAATTGCTAATATTTTTTAAATACTTAAAAATATTTCCTGTCAAATTGAGAGATAATGACTTGTCTAATATTTGTTGAGAGGAGCAGTGTTGAATTTAAAATTCCCTTCTTCTTCTTTATTAGCGCACTAACCCCTTAAGCGGGTTTGAGCGAGTGCAAAACAGCACGGCAGTCGTTTCTTCTATGCCAGCTGGGAAAGCCAAGTGAAGTCAAGTTCTTCGCCAGTAGGTCTTTCCATCGCTTCCGAGGCTTCCCTCTTCCTCTGCTACCACCAGCGGGTTCCGTGTTGAATACTTTTAGAGATGGACTGTCGAAATGCCAGCTAAAACTTCTCAGAATTCCAAAAAATTTTAAAGGACTTAAAACTAAAAACTTAAATTTTTACACACTTCATTGATTTGACGCATCATCATCATATCTACTTAAAAATTCAATTATGCACCAAATGAGTTTAAAATTTAAAACCAACATTAAAATGGTTTAATTATTTCGCACAATAAAAATTATATGAATATCACATATGTATGTATGTACGTCCACGCTTAAAACAATTCATTTTATAATGCCAGCGATAACAATACTAGCAAAGCTTGACAAGTTAAGGCCTAACTTTTTCAGCAATTTGGGGCGCCTGCTTAAACCAACTAAAACTAAGCAGTGAAGTAAAGCTCATTACTTAAGATATGGCGAAGATACATCTCTATAGCATTAAAATGTGTTGCCATTCAAAGGCGTAATTCAGGTGTTGCCAGACCACCAAGGCAGTGCGACTTTAGACCTGCCGACTTAAAGATATACCGGCGGTCCACAAACAACAGCGCAAGCCCAAGTACAGGAGAAGCTATTTTACTTTTCAATGCCAAAGGATTATTAAAGCATTTTCTGAATAAATAAAAGGGAGGTTAACTTTTTTTTTACGCAATCAACGCAAAAGTTTCTATCGAAACGAATGGATTTTCTTGGAAAGCATTCGCTCTAAATTTTTATTCACTGCCCGCTAGAGCTTTTGAAATCATGTCCCACGGCAAATGAAAGGCTATCAGATTTCAAGCCGATATGCAGCAGTTTAAAATATACATTGGGTAACCTGTCAGATAGCTTATGGCGGGAGCAACAACCGCAAACTTAAATCAGTCAAAGTATCTGATATGCCGCAAAAATAAAAGAATAAAATAATTAAAACAAAAACAAATTCATTGAGTTAAAAGTGCATATGTGCTTATGAATATATGTATATTTATGTTTATAAATTCATACATATATATATTTATATATATAAGCTGTTAATGAGCAGTTGCCTGCAAGTTATGCGGGCAATGAAAACAAAAATATGAAATCATGAAAACACTGCAGTCAGATAAACTGCATTCACATCAATTACAAAAGTCGCGAAATTATTTTGCACTACCTTTACATATATACACACATACTTATGCACAAACAAATGGACATGTGAAGGCTATGTATTAAATGTATTTGTATTAAGGTGGTCCAAAAATAAGCAGGCAAATCGACTTTTTGGAATTTTTTTGCTACTACCATCCAGAATTATAGAAAATGAAAAATGAGGTTGCTCGAATTTTTTTATTTTTTTGAAATCGAAACCATGCCGGCGGGGATTTAAATATTTATTTGTTTATTTATTTATTTATTACTTATTTATTTATTTATTTTTTTATTTTTTATTTATTTAACCAAAAATGGTTTTAAAATTAAGAAAAGATTGTTTTTAAAGTAAAGTTTCATTTTGTATTTTATTACAGAAATAAATACAAATTAAATTAAATTAAAATAAACTTAGCACTAACACAAAACCTTAACTAATCATAAGCACAACTAAACATATATTTAGAGGAAAATATGTTCAGAGAGCCAGATGAAAGGAAAGAAGAATATTATTGCAATCACACTCATCGCAGTGACCCAAAATATTTATATATTTCCATATATTTTATATGGCCAGAGTACACTTTTTCGTATAATTTCTATAAAATAGTTAAAAATAAATATTTTTTGATCGAATAAAAAATTTCCCTTCAGAAATTTTCTACGAAAAACAGTTTTCTGCATATGAAATAGTATATGGAAACTTCAAAGGTCACCACGATTAAGTGTTAACCGATTTCAAAATAAAAATACGGGTTTTCTTATTTTCGATAGTCTTTAGTTCTGCAGGGTTGGCTGGAAAAAGATTTGGACCACCCTAATGTAAATACAAACATGTAGGTTAATAATTGTTGAAGGAGAAATAAATATGCTCATTCATATTTTAAAAGGTTAACTACAAATTAACGAAATCACAGGTATTAATTGTCAGTCACCTGATAATTAATTGCATTGATTGCAATAAATTAAATTATTCTTCTCATCGAAATTAATGCATATAATGGAAGGCTTCACAAAGGTTCTGAAAAATTACGAACGTTTAGACTTACGAGAAAGGTCTTAATGTAAGAAATAAATGTTATTTCAGGCCTCTGGTTTAGTTGCCAAAAAAAAATAGAGTCAAATAGAACTTATTATTATTTACTTATTTTAAAAACTTATTTAATAAAATATTTATTATATAAAAACAAGACTTGTGACACTAAAATGAAAACTAAATAATAACCACTAAACTACTTTGTAACAAAAAAAATTCCATTAGCATAGCCATGAGCGACCTATCCAATAGGATATATCCCTCGGACACATCAAGCAATGTTTTAACCTCTTTAAATCTTGTCGGGTCACTGTGGTAGCGAAAGCAGAAGAAGCTATAGAATTAAGTCGGTTATAGATAAATAAATTTTTCTTTTAATTCACTGTTAAGCCACTCTTAGAGCTTAGAAATTCGGGAATTTTCATTAGAAAAAATTTGCATTAATGGCGGAAGGAGTAAGTGTTGGAATTATGCACAGCACTCTAAATAGTCACAAAATGAGAATATTCCAGCGGCTATTTAAGCATAGTTTGCATTGCGACAATGAAAATTGTCATTTACCACACAATTATAGTAAATTGGCAACATTAAATGCAACAACATGAACAATAACCGCAGTCAAAACAAGAACAACCGCAACGCGCAAAATGCCAACATTGAATATACATACATACATACGTATGTATGTATAAACGAACAAAAAACAAATTTTCCACTCAAATTAGGTTCATTAACTGGCGCCTGCATGACTTTCAATTTTGCATATTTTTCGCTTTCAAAAAAAGTAAATAAATACATGTGTAAAATATCGATGTGGTGGTAATGGTCGGCATTCGATGCGAGTATTCGGAATGCAATGATTGTGACTTTGGTCAGTATGGTGCGTGTTGAGAATTATGGGCGCATAAATTGCAAAAACGGGCATACATACAAGCATCCGATTTTAAAAATCAAACATTTCTTAAAAAGAGAACTCATAGACCTTTAAAATTATGTATACAAAATTTTGTTCGACTCAGCTTGTTGCGACTTTTCATCGGGTAAATTTTTTAAAACCCTAATTTTTTTAAATTTATTCAACTTTGACCATCGCTATTTCAGAAATTTCTATAAAAGTTGCCAAACATGTATAGCCTTATTCACAAAAAAATTAAATAGCTTTACAAAAGGTTTATAAATTGAAAAATGTATGAAAACGTCAATTTATAAAGCTTTTCAAACCTATGTATTTTAATTTATTTTGGAACGAATTTGTGTCATCCCTTGTCAAGCTTGGTTTGCAGACAAACCGGTTTCGGCGTTGTGCCATCTTCAGTGTCATTTTTCCTTCTGTTATTGTTCGAGTTTTGTCCTTATTTTATGTTCATTTATCTTAGGTTATGTAATTTTTGTCGATGATTAATTATTATTATGAATTTTACTTAAAAAAAAGGCCATTAGTATTTTTTAGTAATTACATATTTCTTTGTTTTTTTTTTATGAAAAAAATTACCTTTTAACAAGGAAATTTAAAAAGTAAGAGTTTCTGCGTAAAGAATTGTTAAATTAGTGAACAAATAGGTGGATAAATAAAAGAGGAATGAGTGGTAAAAAAATGCGCTAGAATTTTTTTTATGAAAATGTTTTCATTTCTATTTTTTATGGGCACATACACACACACAAAAATTTACCTACACAAATGAAGTAAGCTGGTATGTACAATAGGACGATATTCTTGTTATTCCACTGCGAGCTACTTTTTCAACGATTGTTCACTTTCGTTGGTGAAGTTCATAAATTTTAAATTTCACTAATTAAACACTTTCCATATGTTGCAAATCGCTTCTGACTGCCAGTGCTTTACTCCATATAAATCAGGTCCAATACATATAAACATTTGAATGTATGTAGCTGTTGCAACATTCCGAAACCCAGCCTCATAACAATCCCCAAAGGCACCCAATCGCAGTTACCGCGTGACCTCCGTGCGAGCGCGACAAGTGTGAACAAATTGACGCTGATAAGGCGTAACGGGCACGTACTAGCAAGTGTGTCTGTCTGTTTATGCATAAATGATTACAAATGGGAATGTATACATATATGTACATACATATACAACCTGGGGCAACAGGAACGCAGCAGCACAAATACACATGTGGCATACATGTTTGCTCCAGTACATATGTATGTATGTATGTATGTAAGTGCATACATTTGTATGCCGACGGAATTGGTGGGAATTTATTAATGTGTTTCGCATAAAATTTAAGCGATCCTTGTAAAATTTAGCAATTATTGTAATTTTTTTTCGGAGGTATTTCGTTTGTAAATTATGCGTGAACATACTAAAGCAAGCCCAGTTGGAAATTGTAGTCTGTTAAAAGTAAATTTTATTTGTTTATACAATTTTTGATCGACGTTCACCAGAAAGTGACAAGAAACGATTCCTTTTTTATATGGTTAAATAAGGTCAATCAATGATGATGTCAAAAAAATAAAAAAAAAAACGGTTTCTAGGGGTGTGAGTGATCAATAATCTATAACTTTTAAACTGGGTCATATTTTTCTTCGCGTTTTTTTTTTTTGTTGGTATTGAATTAGAAAATTATCTATCGATAGCCATAACAAAAAAATTTTAATATGCCCCAATTTTACCTTCAAAAGTTACCCCAAATTTAAAAAATAAAACAATAAAAAATATATATATATATATATTCCCAGTTCTTTTAGATTATAAAAGAACATATTTAATAAAAATTATCGATAAAATTCAACTTAATAATAATTTTTTAAATTTTACCATATAAAATCCTCCAAAAATTGGTTAGATATCATACTCATACATATTAAAGTTGGAGATAAATTTAACATTTTTCCAATATTTTTTTCCCATTATATATGACTGACAATAAAAAATATTAGTACATATTTAAATTTGACTTTGATAAACAATAAAAAGGGGTTTAAAAATATTTATACCAAAAGATCTTCGGGATCTGCCGCAACTTCTTTTTACGTTTTTTTTTACATTGTAGCGAAGTGATGTGATTAGAGAATCGGAAGATATCAACAACATTTTCGTTAAATCAGCATTTTGTTCTCACCTGTTGCACTTTTCTAGTGTGAACTAGTTATTAATCCGCACTATTTAATGATTCAATTCTCACTAGGAATCTTTTTTAACTTGCACTGATTTCAATAATAGAAACCCCTTGTCTTGACTAGTATTGGCTACATTTCTTTTGTTATTTACTAATTAATATTTTTTATAAATGTCTAGCTCATTATAAATACAACACCGCGAAACGATGGGTAAAATATAGTAAAATTGCATTTTCAGTTTTTCACTGAGACGTCAGCACTTAATAATGAATGAAATAAAAAATTCAGAGAAATGTGCTTAGAGAAGAAGTAAGGGTACCAAATTAAAGAGGAAATCCTGTAGAATCTAAGCAGATTGTTGCAGAAGGACTGTTAAGTATTGAAAATGTCCTTTTAAATTTTATCCTTGAAATTTCGCAATATTTGTTCTTGAAGAAATTATGTGTTAAGGACTTATATAAACTCGATAACGGCCTCGAATTTCGTCCTTCTAACTTTACCAGTATAAAAAATTACCTATTCGTCCTTGTGAATGCAAAAAAAAAATTATTTTTTATTATTATTATTTTTTATACCCGAGCGCAAGGGTATATTAATTTTGTTCACATAACGGTTGTTTGTAACAGCCAAAACGAATCGAGATAGATATAAACAAATGTATACATAAATGCTCAGAATGAATAGAGAAATC